AAAGATTTTTCTTAAATTTGCTCTCCGCTCCCTTAAGTTTGTTGACGCAATACCATCGTATACATCCCGTTTATTGCTTTTACATCTTAAACTACTGGAAAATCGTCGGTCCGTTCTCTGCCTTTCATTTGTTTTTAATGTTATTAATGGAGGTATTGACTGTCCCTATTTATTAGGGAAAATTAACTTCAATGCTCCCCAACGTTGTCTCAGATCTWTTTCCCCATTTTATTATATAAAGGAAAGTACTAACTTTGCTGAATATGCTCCTCTCAAGCGTGGTATGCGAGAGTTTAACTCGATTTCCGAAAAAGTTCTTCTTGATTTTTCTCACTCTAGGGTATCCTTCATTAATACCCTAAATTCTGTTTTTTAGTTTAATTTATCTACTTATGTACTTTTATTTGAATTATTTTAGAAATCTATTTAGTATCCTAACTTTCCATTAGTCTGTAAGAATTAATGTTCATAGACTTAACTAAATAAATAAATAAATAAATATCGAAATTGGATATTATTAATTTCTTGACAACTGCTTTTCAGCATACCATTTGTTTAAGACAGACCTTAAGATCTCTTAAAGCAACAATGGATCAAAACAGTTGGATTCGGTTCCGCAGTCGTTCTGCACGTCAAATGTTTTCCGAATATCGAATTTGGATCTTCTTAATTCTTCGACAACTGCTTCTCAACATACCCAATTGTTTTAAATCTTAAGATAGAACAAAATCAATGCAGCTGGTAAAATTCGCAGAAATAAATTTTCCAATCCACGTTTCCCAATTGAAAAAGAAATGGAAATAAGGAGAGTTTTATCAGCAGAATGGAAATAATAATGTTATTGTCCCTCAACCTAAGTAATGGGAAAGAGAAAACAAGAATTTTGTAGTTATAGATATATCCCAAGTTGTACGAATGTATAATGTGTGTATGGGCGATGTGGATTTCTTATTGGATCAAATGATCCAATATTAGCGGATAAGTACTATGTATTTTGTAGATTTAGCTTCAACTGCGTAATAATGGAGCTCAAAAGAGATTACATTAACAAAGGAGTCCCGAAAAAGAAAATATTAGATTGTCAAAAAAGTATACGGCTGCTACTATGCCGGTCTCTTTCGACCAATTCAGCTATTTTCGACGATAGGCCTTCCGGAGCGTGGCGCATCTTCGACCACCTCTACACCAGAACGAAAACGTTGAAACCATCGTTGTGCGGTGGAAATGGAAACTGTATCGGGTCCATAAACTRCACAAATTTTAWTGGCGGCTTSAGATGCATWTTTGCCTTTATCRTRGTRGTACTRTAAAATATGCYGWATTTTCTCTTTATTTTKCTCCATGTTTGCGACGCTATAACTCACGAACGACTTAAAAGAAACGACAATCAATCAAACACGTGTTAGCGCGTGAAATGAGCTTTCCAAAAAGGTATAGCATGACCCGATGCGACGAATATAACTAGAACTACGCGCTCTCAGCGCCAACTAGCGAAAATACCGCAAGACTTTTTTGACAACCATAACAACATATTAGATTAAATGAATTTTTGCATTGCAATTACCCGTACGTATGTAGTCCGAATGGACGAAACAACTTCAGCATCTGAAACAAAGTGACAGTGGAACAATATTTCATTGGACTTGGATTGGAAAAAGTGGAATCAATACCTAAGCTCTGTGAGGCTGTAATTAAAGAAAAAGAGCACACGCGGTATAGAAAAGAAGATAGGGCGATGAAACCACTATCATTAATTATTTTGACCTAATAGAATCATTAGAAATATTTTTAATACAGAGATAAAAATCACATATCGACCAATATATGGCATAAATTCGACCTTTATAAGATATATATAATCACTTAAAAGCCATCCGTGAGCCGTAAAATTAATTAACTCTGACGAATAATAAATGCGAACGTTGAATGGACTTGGTTATTGAAGATTTAACTGGTTTTCACGGCGTATTAAGAGTAAAATTAGTCGATATACTTAGCTCTAGTGGATTGTTTGGAAAATCACTTTTTATTTCGTGTGTCACGTCACTTGTCTAAAGCGATATTCCGACAAACCTGTTTGAAACAAATAGTCGGCACGTTATTGGGAGAAATAAATAGTGCAAAGTGACTACGTGAGAATGAATAAAACGAAGTGTATATAGCTAAAATCTTTAATTTAAGTTATTATTTAACAAAACTTACCTTGGCTTCCTCCAATCTGCCTAGTGCTTTCAGCAAATTCCCTAAATCGCTGCGTACACAATAGAGATCCTTAAAAAACAAAACATTATATTTATTATATTTATAATTTGATTGTATTATTCCACTTACTGGATTGTATTGCAATGCTGTAATGTAAGCCTGAACTGCAGATTCCATGTCACGTGCCGCAACCAACGCAGCAGCTAAGTTAATATATCCATCAATAAAATCAGGCTTTAACCTAACAGCTCGTCTATAATTTTCTAACGCTTCGGGTAGCTGACCGCGCTCTTTATACACATTTCCTAAGTTGCTAAAAAATATTAAGTTATACTTTATAAATTAAAATGTTATACATTTAGTCGGAAAAGAATAAAAATAAGTATTTTTACACAAAGTTATTATAACTAGTCTAAAGCCCAGTGTTGCGGCCCAAACAAAGAAACATAGTAACCACTTTCACGATCGCTAAATAAAAATACTCACATATTTTAAATGTACAATAATTTTAACACTATTGTTTATTTAATGCCTATAAAAACAAGTAAGGAAGGGCTAAGTTCGGGTGTCACCGAACATTTTATACTCTCGCATGATAAAGTGATAATCGAGATTTCAGGCGTGGTTGTGAACCGATTTCACCCATATTTGGTTCGTGTCATCACGGTGTTAAGAAAATATTATATACCGAATTTCATTGAAATCGGTTGAGTACTTCCTGAGATATGGTTTTTGGTCCATAAGTGGGCCGATTTTGCCCATCTTCGAACTTCACCTTCTTATGGAGCCAAGAAATACGTGTACCTAGTTTCATCATGATATCTCAATTTTCACTCAAGTTACAGCTTGCACGGACGGACGGACAGACGGACGGACGGACAGACAGACATCCGGATTTCAACTCTACTCGTCACCCTGATCACTTTGGTATATATAACCCTATATCTGACTCTTTTAGTTTTAGGACTTACAAACAACCGTTATGTGAACAAAACTATAACACTCTCTTTAGCAACTTTGTTGCAAGAGTATAAATATAACGTTATATTTGAAAGAAGAGTGTACGGACCGCAACCCGGACCGCTAAGTGATTATAGAAGATATTGGCGTGGCACCGCGTAGGATCGAATGTTCACGTGTGAATTGTGTGGTAAGCGATTACCCAATTTCTTTTTGTTGGTTTGGTGGTATGCGATGTCGCCGTGTGATGACTGCTTGACGGGTGGGGTGATGTTCTCAAGTGTGGTGTGATGTGTTAACTTATTTAAACACCCCGAAATTCGGTCAGTTTTTGAATATTTCGGATTGAATACTTTTACGATTAATTGTTTTAAATTTTATTTATTAACTAAAAAAACCCGTCCAAGCTTTACTGGGGGGGACCCATATATAATACTACTACTACTACTACTATCTATGTGATTTTTATTAATTAAATAATAACCATTAGTTAATGAGACATAGCATTTTTAATACGCTTTTATTAACTTCACTTGTATGTATGTAAGTATGTTTGTAACTATTTTAAGTGGTACTGAAACCTGGAATATTTCGGCGTTCATAAGATGCAAGGTTGTACAGTAGGGACATACAGTAATTTATCTGGGCTCTCGACTGCTTGCTGCTGGACAAGCTTATGTAGCACTTAGTCGTTGTAGATCTTTGGACGGTATTTGAATTGAAGAACTAGACTGTTCAAAGTTTACCGGTAAAACCCCATGTAACAGTGAAGCTTTAGAAGAAGTGATTCGATTAAGAAGTAATAATTCGCAAAACCGTCAATAGAACTTGGTCGCAAATAATATAACAATCAGTCAATGAAAGGTAACGAGTAGATATTAAATGCTGCCTAATTATCGATTTACTTAACCAATACTACATGCCATAGTTCATATTTTAACAAATTTGGGGTTTCTCACATCAAACTAAAAAATTAAAAATAAATATAGTTTAAAAAAAAAAACACGCTTTTAAAGCATATCAAACTAAAAAGTGAAAAATAATTCTTTGTATAAACCAACAATTATGACGGAAAAATTCTTTATTGTGAGAAAAGCGTGAGGTGCTTTGTGACATATTTTTCATATATCGAGCATTGTACGCTATTTTCCCAGTGATGCAGGAATTTTCCCTTGATTATTATTGTTAGTTTTTACAAATAATTATTTTTTACTTTTTAGTTTGATATGCTTTAAAAGCGTGTTTTTTAGTTTTCTTAAAATATATTTATTGTGAAGCAACTTGTGTTAGTTTACAAAAAAATGGAAAGTATTTCGTGTGTTAATAATCATTGCTTTTTGGGGAACTGTTGAATTTGGGCTTTTAACCAGGGAGATCAACCGTTGGAAAGAGATTTGCTAAGTTGGAAAGAGGCGAAATGAGCACCGAGGACAATGAAGGCAGTTGACGCCCCAAAGAGGCGAAAGCTCTTTGCAAAGTTTGTGCATCTCACAAACTCTCTCGTCGCAAGTTCATATTCTAACAAAAACAACGAATTGCTGACTCTGAGGAGTATTTGACTGCTCTTTAATCGTAATAAAACCGAATTTTTACTTTGATGTGTGACAATAGAAATAGGGTTCCATCATTTCACACAGGAGTCCAATCGACAGATATTATAAGTTAAGCAAATGATGAACCGCTCTCCAAGAGTGGAAAGACAAAAAAAGTCGGCTGGGAATGTTATGACATCAGTGTTTTTTCTACGGTCATTTAATTGGGAAGTCACGACAAGAACTGAGGCGAGTAAGTCCTCGTGTCCATATAAAGGAGCGCAAATTCGGTGTGGGCCTCCGTCGCCCCAGTGGATGAATGTCTTAGCCACAATCCGCATCAAAGAAAAGTTCTTCAACATATCGCTAATTTGACCCCACGACCCGACGGAAGAGAAGGACCATGTGACAAGGATGCCTTCTATGAGCGCCTAGCACACCTATGAGAGCCGAAAATGGGTTTGGTAGTAAACGAGGACAAGACGAAATATATCCTGTGATCAAACAAACAGTCGCGACTTGACTGTCACGTCACTCATGACAGTCATGACTTCGAAGTCATAGATAATTTCGTGTATCGAAACATTATTTACACCCACAACAATGTCATCCGTGAAATCCAACACAGAATAACTCTTGCCAACAGTAAAAGTAAAGTCCTATCTCAACGCACAAAGGCCAAACTCTATAAGTCTCTTTTCATTCCCATTCTATATTTGAAATTTTCGCTTTGCAAGTTTTCGAGAAAAAGGTTCTGCGCAATTTTTATGGTCCTTTGCGCGTTGGCAACGGCGAATATCGCATTCGATGAAAAGAGGAGCTGTATGAGATATACGACGACATTCACATAGTTCGGCGAATTAAAAGACAGCGACAACGCTGGCTAGGTCATGTTGTCCGAATGGACGAAAACACTCCAGCACTGAAAGTATTCAACACGCTACCCGCCGGGGGAAGCAGAGGAAGAGAAAATCCTCCACTTCATTGGAAAGACCAGGTGAATAAGGACCTGGCTTCGTGTGGAATCCCCAATTGGCGCCACGTAGCGAAAAGAAGAAACGACTGGCGCACTAAATAAGAAGAATATAAAAATATAAGCGACCCGACATGGACCTGTGACAACACGAACAAAGCTGCCATGTGGAGAAAAAACGTTTCAAGACAAACCGCTTTAGATAAATAGTTTTACATCGAGCGAAAGTCTGTGAGATGAACTTCTATACATTATTCTATATTCTATATACTTCAATCGGGTCCCATAAGACATCGCAGCTGATTGGAAGTTGCATCACGTCAACGACCCGGGTCACTCCGCCTTTCTTGTGACTAACCAAGGCCAGCGTCCCAACGCTTCCGCAGCCGCCCAACAGCCCAGATGTGGCCCCTGGACTGTTTTTGTTTCTTGCCTGAAAAAGCCAATGAGAGTCAAGAATTTTGAGACCACAGAGGGGATCTAAGCAGCATGCACCTCGGCTCTCTAGGCTATTCCGGAAAATGCCTTCAATGTTTGAAAATTGCACTGGCAGCGCTGCATCGAAGCAGAAGAAGCCTATTTTGAAAGTTTTAAAAGAATTGTAACGATTGGTTCAATAAATTTTTTAATCGACTCAGTTCTATTACTTTTCGGACAAGCCCTACAGTTGTTAAATATCGCCAAGCACATCACAGAGTGATTTTGAAAAAAGATCTGAGGAAGTGGTCAAGGAAATTTTGTCTATTACGAAGAACGTTGTCGCAGGTGATTTCAATGCAGGGCCGATGATGTGGGGTAGCGTATTCTCATCGCTAGACACGGTACTACTGAACTTTGGAAAACAGAACACCTTCGAGACGAAAGACCGGGACTTCGTTATCGACATTAACTGCGCTTCTAGCTCTCTGGTGTGAACAGCAAATTGTGTGCGACCTAAATAATATATATACGTACAGTGACTATCATGAAATTATGTTTGAAATCGAACAGTGAATACACAATCGAAGGAATATGCCCACTAAGGTTGTACAAAGAAAGGACGGAACATAGAAACATTGGACGACGAACTCTTCACACTCTTGTTAGATGGTAGTCTAACATTTGAGGAAGACATAGAATGATAGGCGGAGATCCCAGTGAGGTACGTTAGTAAAGCATTCGACACTTCTATGTGTATAAAGAAAAATGGTTCCAACCGAGTACTGATAGACAATAGACTTAGCTACAAGGCGCACATCGAAAAGGTATGTGAGGAAGCATCACGTTTATTGGCCGCTCTAGCAAGAATAATGGCCAACATTGCGATTAACGGTGGAGAAGTATGAAATGAGTGACAACGCAGCAAAAACAGAAGAGTGGATGAGGAGTAGGCCAGAATGGCGTGACTGACGATCCGAACGGTTAAGCTTAGCCCCACGATGTAATGCTTAGCGGCAGTTACATGAGGAAAATAAGCAATAATGATGGAGTTAAAGGTTTATACGTAGGCATATTGGTTCCGTTTCACCGGAAAATACGAATCGAGTATACCTTCCAGAAAAATTACGATATCTATCGAAAATCTCCGTTCCAAAAACAAAAAATAAAAATTCATGTACTGACACCAATATATCACTCAACAATAAACGGTCAAGTTGAACGGGTTCACAGAAGACGTATTCGTCAATCGAAAATATTTTTCTACTGTTCTAACTGCGAAAGGAAAAAATATCAACAAGAACAGTATATGAAGACAGCCTACAGAATTTATTTACTATTTAGTCCTCTTTGGCTAATTTAGTGACTGGCCTAAGTAATAGAAAATATGTTTTAATTGAGACAGACATATTATATTTATTTGAAGACACA